GAAGGGGGAAGGGGTGGGGAGGGGAGGGGAAGCTAATACATACCCCCCTCCCCCTCTCTCCCCCCCCCCCTTCCCCCCCCTTCACCTCGCATGCGTTGTATCATACCTATGCAACCGTAGTCGGCTTGAGAGTGGACTGTTCATTCACCGCCTCTGCCGCTAAGGCCAAGCCGAGGCAAAGCCGACCCGAGTCGCAACCACCTTTGGTACGCCGGGACGGCTGACGATGGCTGGCACCGATGAGGTCATGCACATGCACACACACGCCCATACACAAGCTCATGCACATGCGCATGCATGCTTTTCTACTCTACACGGGGGGCCATGGCTGTATATTGCCTGGATCACGGGCCAGTGGCCGGGGAGGGAGCCCCGGATGGCTGGACGTCGTCTGCAATCGGACAAGAAGTGAGTGGGGATACGGGTGTATAGGTAAGAGGGTGGCGAGAAGGACAGAGATGAAGGAAAGCACGTACCGGCAAGGACAACCCAGACATGGCCGTCATCTTCCAGTGTCTCTGCCACAATGGCGGCCGGATCGAGGCGAACACCGTCCTCGAGCCGGACTCCGACAGGCTGACCCAGCTCCTCACCGTAGCTGGCGTCAAAGCGACAGACACCGACACGGGCAAGCCAGATGACAGCCTGAATGCCATCCCCACACTGGACAGCGATGGTCTTCTCCCGGACATGGACCTGTGTGCGATGGATGTGAGTGCCCTTCGCGCACCCAGTCCGGGTAGCCAACCTCCCCCCCCCCCCCCCCACCCCCCACCCTACACCCATGTCCATCACAACCCCTCCCCCCTCCCCCACCCCACCCCCCCACCCTCCTCCCCCACCACTGACCCCGTACGTTGATCCGCATACCCCCACCTCCCTCTACCAGAAGTCCGAGTGAGGTACCCCTCCGCACCCCTTTGCACTCCTCCCCGTCACCACCACCACCACGACCACCACCACATGGACTGGGACTGGGACGCCGCTATTCTGGAGGTCACGGCCGTGGCCGCAGCTTCACCACAAGACGAAGGAAGCCAGCAGGGTGGGGCAGGCCCGCCGACCCGCATGCTGCTGGCTTTGCAGGAGCGGTTCGAGGCCCAGGCTCAGGCGAGTGCACGGCGCGAGGCCGAGCTGATGGCCGAGGTCCGAGGAGCAAAGGCAGAGGCTGCCCTCCTGCGCGACGAGACCGAGCGCCTCCGAGCCGAGCTCGCCCGCGCAGAGTCACTCAATGGACAGCTCATCACGTCGCTGCGGCAGGCGGTCCAATCGCGCGACGCGCGGGCGCTGCGGGCATCGCCGCACGCACCGGGCGCCCCGCCGGTCAGCAGCAGCGATGCC